CAACGCGGTCTGTCGCCAGTAGCAGCTTGGCTATTGCCTCATTTCCCGTTGTCACAGCTAATGACAGTGGTGTCCGCCCAAAAACATCCTTAGAGTCTGGATCAACGCGGTCTGTCGCCAGTAGCAGCTTGGCTATTGCCTCATTTCCCGTTGTCACTGCCCATGACAGTGGTGTCCGCCCAGAATAATCCTTGGAATTTGGATCAACGCGATCTGTTGTCAGTAGCAGCTTGGCTAATGCCTCATTTCCCATCGTTACTGCCCATGACAGCAGTGTCTGTCCATATTCGTCCTTGGAGTCCAGCATAAATTTCTTTGTTTCAAGGAGAAAAGCAAATAGCACCTCGTCAAGCCCTGCTATATGTATAAGGACGGTCCGGTGGTTTGAGAAGTCAATGTGTCCCAGGTAAATGTGTCTCCTTCCACCCTGGCAATACTTGTCGCACAGCTGACGCAGTCGACTTTCTGGGTGCATGTTCGCCGTATAGGCTTGCAGAAGTGACTGGAGAGCTTTCCAGTTTTCGGTAGCAAGGGCCGCGAAAAAGGGAGACTTGTAGCACTCTCCTTCTTCCACTTCAAAACAGGATAGGACAGCGGGGTGAACTCTGATGAGATTCGACAAATTGCCCTCCGCTAAGATATACAGTAGACTCACATTTTGTGTATGCTGGTGTACTCCGTGTTCGTCAAATAGATTGTCGAGTTGAACCCAGTAGGGAAGCTGAAAGCCCTGGATAAAATCTCCTTGAGCAATACCACTACCTTCAGCAGCATCAGCATGGTACAGCACGTTGCGTACGGCATACCCCAGGAACGGAAACGCTCTAGCAACAGACTCGCGGAGGTTCGCAGCTTCCTTAGAATATGCTTTCGCTAGTGGCTTGCTGAGATCAACATGTTTAGAGACATCGACGTTGACATATGTAAGGCAGCAGTGTTTAAGTTGGTCATGGCTTTGTCCTTGCAAGTTGCTTCCAAAGTCAGGCCGGATCTTGCAGAGCCCGTTTTCCTTGAGGAGATAGTCTCGAACTGACTCGTGAATGAACTGGACTGTCGGAGCCATGGAGCGTGTAATTTCAGCCAGTCCTTTGGATGAATCGAGAATAAATCTCCTGATGACGTCAATTGTGATCACATCGGTATTCCACTCTGTTAAGGCTCCTGGCTCAGTGCCAGAAAGAATGGCAAAGTACAATTCCTCCGGTTTCAATGGCTGTCTTGCGAAGAGCACCCATTGGATGCATAACAGTAACTCATTTCGATTATGGCTGTCCCGGGTTAGAATATCGCGGAATAGGTCATGCAGGTCGCCAGGGAGCCTGTGGAGTATTTGTTGAAGAGCATGGACACGGCCTCGATCATACTCCTTATTGAGTATCTCCACCACGAGAATAACCCACATAAAAACTCCAGAGGCTTTCTCCTGAAGTTCACTCCTGATCTGCATGGCGCGGTTGCTGTGCCCAATTCTCAGCTCGCTATTCACGTAATCGGTGATGTCTTGGATGTGGCCTGGTTGGCCCTCTAGAATCAGCTCCATTCCTCTCTTTATAGTGATATACGGGTAGTGTCTGCTTGAAAATAAGACTCGGAAGCGAATTCCAGCATCAACAGCGAGTTCGCCGACATGTTCAAAAAAGGACATCATGTCACGCACTTGATGTTCCGCACATTCGTCTAATGCGTCAATGAAACACATCAGGGAAGACTGTTCAAGACGTAGTATTGCTTGTTCGCATAGATCTTTCAGCAACTCAACACCCCACTGACGATGTCCACCGCTGTTCCACGTCCTTAACTCGGGAGTGTCGAAGATACACTGAAGTTCTGGGTCTCGTTTCAAGTATCTCTGACAACAAGGCTCGATACAATCCAACCGTAGACTTTTCCAAGTCCTCTCCCCGTGCGTTGAAGAAGAAAGACATGACTATCGTGTCCTTCATCGTTTTCCGGGCATCCGCAAGGGCAAATTTCATTATTGTTGACTTGCCAGTCCCAGGCTTCCCTTTCATCCACAAGAGGCCGTGATGTTCGCCGAGCTTCTTGTTATCAAGCCAGTCACGGTACTCCGGCTTATTAAGGAGCCATCTGCACGTCTTTGCGTGTGCTTTTTTGATGGTCATCTGGCGAGCATCGATCTGGTCAAATTTCAATGAGTCTATAAGCATCCGTTTACGCTCTTCACTGAGAGGCAGGATTCCACCGCTCAGATGCTGACCTAAGACCGTGCTTCGTTGGGCAGCGGAACCCTCGCAAGGTATAGGTATGTTGGTACTTCCAGGCAGCTCACAACTAACATTGAACCCGCCGTGCAACGGCTGCCGAGGGGTCAAGATTGGCGGGACTTGGCGATCCTCTGGGTTCAAATATGAAAGAAGCTCCTTCGCGCACCCTGCTGCCGCCGCTGCCGCATAGTGCTGCCATTTATCATTCTTGTGAGAGTCTGCATAGTCGGAGATGCCGCGAATGACAATGCATGGAAACTCCGTCATGATGCCAGCTGCTTCCATTTCGAAGCAGAGGATATCGCCAATGCCTTGACCCGTCATGTTTCGCTTTCTAGCGCTCCTCATGACTCTGTCCCCGGACGCAATCAATCCGTAATGAATCTTAGGATTATCAGATCCACGTGCAGGCCGATCAACCATCTGAGTACTTTCGCAACTCCTGCATGTAGCCTGACCAGGCACATGAGGATAATCCGCTTGGAAGAGGACATCGGAATCTGCTGGTGGCCGTTGGTAAGCTGCCAGGCGAGGCCATTTTTGCAGCATTTCCGACAGGAAGGTGTTGACTTTGTTCGATTTAGTCAAGTGATCGGATTGCATCAACTCCACTGCGCTCCTCAAGATGGCAGGGGGTGGCCAGAGGAATCCTTTAAGGGTGAAGCCATCCTCTACATCCTTCCCTAGGTCATACTGGACTACTCCACCAGATGAACTGTCGGGCATACTCACAACAATATCGCCGAGGCGGATGTCGTGTGTCGGGCTCGCCACACCACCTCCGATGCCCACCAGAAGCCACCATTTGATTGATCGGAACGTGCGTTGCATATTGTTAGCAACGATTGCCGCGGCTCCTTTCCCTTGTGTACCTGGCAGACAGGCAATCGCGACACTGTGACCGCTGAGTTCGCCGAGGACATATAGGTTTGAATCGCCTTGCTTGGTGGGCAAACGGGGATGTTCATTGTCAAGCATGTAGCGGACTGCGCTCATCTCAAAACCCAACGCGCACACCACAGCGACGGTGTAATCTTTGTAGGTCCATCGATTCGCACAGTATTCGTTGGTAGACGGGATAGGAAATCCGTCGTGTCCACGGCGCTTCTTTCGATTTCCATCTGTCACTGAAAAGAAGCGTTCTTCGTTGTATCGGCGTCCCCCAGGTGTCCATTCCATAGCAACTCTCTTGTGACGCCTTTTCGGCAAAGATCTTTTTAGCTATATCAAGGCGGTAGCAAAGGCAGCCGAGCTACCGCCTCCGAGAAATAAGACTAAGAAGAAAGATCTTCGAGTAGCTCGTCTTCGTCAGAAGGCTCTTAAGCAACATGGCCTCGTCATGAGATAACGGTAGGGAGGAGGGGCTGCTTCCATCGTTCTACTGCTTCAGCCTTGCGCGCTTTGCCGGAGCGTAAATCACGTGCTTGGCTTGCAGATTTATCGAAAAGACAGTAGATCATATCTCGCGGACGTTAGATGTACATTTTGACCTTAGAGCTCTGGAAGTGTGTAGATGATATAAACATCCAGCATGCTGCAATAGAGTGGGAGGCTAAACTGGAACCTAAATTTAGCTACTAGTCTACTGCTATCTTATCTAATATCTAGAATACTCAGACTAGGAATATCACATAATTTAACTGCACATTTGTTTTCTATATCTCAATATATACTCCTAAAAGTAGAGTATATTAGGTGGATGCCTTCTGTGCTGATTTAACTTGGGAGATCCTTTAATAACTATTAAATTTAGGGTCTGTAGACTCTATGCCCAACCTTGGTCATAGGATTAAATATTCTAGTATCCTAACTTACCTATTTTCTCTTAAAGATCAAGTAATGCTGCCATTCCATTTCCACCGCGTGGCGGCGGGGTGAATCGGATATGGATATAGACTTAAGGATCAAATTAGCAGTAGCCTATTCATCCTGCCAAACCAACCCTAGTACTGACATTTCCCAGCCACTACCAAGCTGCTGGACAGGTTGTATGAGTAAGGAGCTGCATGCTGCATCCCTGCCCTGACTGTCAGCTAAAATGCTTAGGGCTTCTGCAGCATTGCTACATTGGGAAGGGATTCCGTAATGGGCGAGCTAAAAGCTAAAACAGAGATGAAACATTCGGTGTTTTTGATAAGGGTTAGGCGGTTACTTACTCGGAAGTACGCGGCTGAGGACTCTCTTAACTAGGTAATGCTCTTCGGAAGTTCAGGTACTAAGAGTGGTTTAGGTATTCGCTATACAGGCAAACGCTTTAAGAGCAACCGAATTATGCTTTACTACTGGTATTCCCCGTCAGTGCAGACCTGCCGCTCGCACTTAAAATGTGAACTGAGGAATGTGAATCGTGCCAACAGTCCAGGTCTTGCCACCATCTGAAGTGGACATCTCGCCGGTGACGCCCTGGCCCTTGTAGTTGGTGTATTTGTAGTTGGGATCCGCGCGGTCCAGGATAATCTTGGTGTCGATCCAGGCTAAAGGTACAGTGCATGTTAGCCAGTGAGTCTGAATAGTGAGTTGCCGTGTAGACTTACAGTGAGCACCGACAGTGCCGCAGTCGTTTGCGGCGCACTCCACAGCGCTACCCCAGCCCTGCGCATGTCCGTCGCTGGTGGAGAGTGTGGAAACGACTTTTCCATTCACGGAAAGAGTTTGCGTGTAGTTGCCAGAAGCATCATCGTACTTGTCTGAAGGATAGTTAGTTTTGCATGTCCAGAGTGCAGGCGGAGGAGATGTCGCTGTTGCTTACAGTGCATCGTTACGTGGTCGCCAGGCTTGGCGGGGGCGCTCTTGCCCTGCAAAGGGTACTGCGAATTCTCTTGATAGACTGTGTGTCAGTGCCGTTGATGGTTTAGGTAGGAGACATGTTATGATAGATCAACGAACCTCCAGTCTTCAGGAGCGTGTAGGTATAGACACTCCACTCATTGGATTGCCACTTGTCGGTGATGGACTGGATCAAGTCTCCGTTGGAGGTGCCCATGCCGACCCAAAGGGAAAGGTCTCCCCTGTTGTTTTCGACAAGGGTGGGCAGGATGAGAGTGGAGGTTGCTTCGCGGATGAAGGAGTTGGAAGCAACAGGACCAGTGCTAAAGGCAGGGCCCATAGCCGCGTTCACAGCGGTAAACGTTCCTGCTGCGAGAGCAGCAGAGACGAGCTGGCTAATGGAAGGCATGGCGGTAGTGATTTGGAAGTATATGACTGTAAGTTCAGCGTGGACTGTGTGATTCTGTTCTTGTCCTTGCTCGGAGGAGCAGCAAAGCCATTTTATAGTTCTTCTTTGGTGACTCTGTTGATCTCTAGATCAGTCCCTGAATCTCGCCGGACTGTGTCATAGTACGACATGTCTATATGCAGTGGGATTCTCCACCATTTATGACTCGGGTTGTGAGACATCTATCAAGTCGAAACAACCTGAGACAGGGGGGTTGGGAACAAAAACACCAATAGGTGGACTTATGACGCTATACGAGTAGCCGTCTATCAACTGCCATATTCTCCAGAAATGGGGACACAAATTCGGGACCTTAAGAACGTCATTTGAGTGTTCACGGGCCGCTTTCCAAATCAGTTCTGGGCTGTATACTCATTGAACCGGAGGAGGGAAGCTTGAAGACATAATGTTTCAAATTTCTCCACCAAGGATCTCCTTCGGTTAGACCGGATGTACCAGCACATATGAGTACGAAACATACTCCAAAGTTGTCAGCTAATGATTGAATACTCTCATAAAGACTCCCACAGATTTTCCGGGGATGTTGCTGAAATCGCCACGGCGCCTGCAAGGTGCATGGCATGGACCCCTATTTGGGTCCAACTAATCATATAACTCAGTTAGGACATGCGGGGCTACATTGCTGGGGGATTCTGAATAAAGAGTCCTTCGGCCATTATCCAGTAGCTAGGTAATAGCGTCTAGGCACTGCACGGTCAGACTGCCGGAAATACTTATGAATCGAGAACGTTCAGAAAGCCCAAGCTTCTCCTTCCTGCAACGAATAGAACAAGCTTAGTGGTGGCTTATTATTATTATCCAGGAGTGCGAACTGCGAAAGCCCGAACTCTTCAGGGTCTAAGGTACCAGACACCTTGGCGGAGAAACCTTCCGAATGCAGCCTATAGTCGCCTGGCTTATAGCTCGTGATCCCTTAGTCCGTTTCTGAGGGTTTCGGCATTATTGAGGCGGTTTGATACAGACCGAGTCACTGAGTACGGAGTAATGTACGAGTCTTCAAACGACGGATTTGTGTGGAATAGTGTCAGAGGTATAGGACTAGTTAAGGTTCCTGAAACAAATTCAATTAACGGCTTTAGTGAGCATTGGAGCATGCTAACAAGCTGAGAGGTGGGCACCAAGGCGGGAGGGATTCAGGCCTCCACGCTTGTTTTGACGGAACTCGGAAGATGCGCGACTCATCCTGTACACACTGGTCCCCTCATTCCACCCTCTTCTTAGGTTGTCCTTAACTTGATATGCAAAGGATCCATTGGTTTAAAAATACATTGTTTATTAGTCACCAGCAAGGCTTAGCAACTGCATAACCTCCCTTGTCAGGTCTATTCGACACAGTTTCTGCACCTTTCGTCTGATAAATCAATCAGGAAGCAGCGGATGTCTCCATATTTAATTGCAGACAAACTTGTGCCTCAGTTGCTCTAGAGCTAGATCCTTAACTGCTGGTCGTACTCGACCACATGGTTGTTCGACTGAGTCTCACTAAACTCGGGATAGATTCTCCGGAGCAGTTCTTTTGCCGTCTTTCTGTCTTCAGGTCTCCACTGAAGCATTTTCCTCATGAAAGCTGAAAACTTCTCCTTATTTCTCCCCTCAAGGAACTCGTCCGATGGCTCCAAATTTACGTCTGTTGGTACCTCTATGTTCTGCTTCCATTTCCCTGTGAACGCTGTTCATAAGCACTCTTTCATTTGCTCGGTGCACTCAGCGGGAGAGTGTACTTGCCGTCATTAGTAAAAGACTAATGGCTCCTTTGCCACGTTCGAGCAGATCTAAGGGAGGCGGTCCCAGAATGCCAATTACCTCAGCAAGATGTGTACGGGTGGAATACCCTTCCCCATCAGGATCATTGCCATAGAACAGGTGCTTGCCCTCAAACAGATCCCATATCTGACACACCTGCTGTTAGTAATCTATAACGAGCTTAACCAAGAGGCAGAGCGTACCGACACCAACATTCCATATATCAACTGGGTAGCTCCATTCAGGTTTCAGCATTACTTCTGGCGAGCGGTAAACATTGGGCTGTGCATCGTGATTTCTCCTCTCATCTCCTCGTACAGCTGAACCAAAATCTCTCAGGACGACTCGGCCGAATGTCTTTGGCAATTCAAACCGTCGAGAAGCATACACTGGCATCCCGTTGACGAATTTTCGCGGCGAAGGATTCTCCAGTTCAGCTCTAGTAAAACTGTCAAGGATAGCCCTGTCCTCTATTTCTTGAAGAATGTTATCGCCCTTAATGTGTAATCAGGATGTGGATCAGTAGTTGAAGGTTCTGAAAGTCCATATAAAATCTTACCAGTATGGACAAGCTTGCATTCTGTATGGAGATAGTCAAGTGCAAGAAAACCTGCATAAGACCAACCTTGAGTAGTTCTTCAGTGAATCGCTGATTAGGAATGCGACATGGCAGATCCCTGAAACTTTCCCCCATTGGCTGTTGAACAAGACAGTGATGGCCTCCTCCAGGACGAGGAATCGTGGATAAATCCAGCCCTCTTCTCACATGAGCATAGCCAGGATGCGATGCGTTTCCTTGGTTCAGATGCTTATAGATCTGGACTCTTCCTGATTGGCTTCATTGCATGTATATACCTTGAGTGTCACATATCAATGGCCTCTGGTCACATTAGCTGGTGTTGGTTGCGAGCAAATGGAACCAGCACCGCGTACTCAAGATCACGGGCGAGCCATACTGTGGAGGTAACCCCGAATCCAGCTTACCAATGATTTGGTATTTGGCACCGAAGACATCGCCGATATTGACGGGATAAAATTGTCCTTTCTTGAACTCGTCGAAACGTTCCTCGTCAAGTATCTTGGATGGACTAACGGTGTCGAAGCCGCTGGTGGGAAGCCATATAGGAAGTGACGGAGATCTTCGAAACGTGTGTCTGGCCCATTTCAGGAGAGTAGCCATGATGGGTACTCGAAGGAGCGCTGGTAGGGCTGAAGGATGCGATATTCGTAGGTACCTCGCCTTTGTTTATCTTCCAGATATGGTTAGCGCCGTGTGGTTATATATTATCGATTCTCTCCTCATCAAATGTACACTACGTCATCCACTTAGAGGCACAGTAAGACGAACACATCATGCCATCTTACAGCTTATCATTTATACTGCATTCTTGCAGCATAGAAGAGACGACGTTATCATCTCTCCTCTCTCCCAATTTCAGATTCTGGAGATAGATCAAACGTTCAAAATGAAGCTAGCAGTCTTCAGCGCCAAATCCTACGACAAGCTCTTTCTTGACCGTGCCCTCGAGAAAGACTACGCATCCTTCTGCGAAATCGTCTATCACTCCTTCGCTCTATCCTCCGAGACCGTCTCACTGGCCAAAGGCAGCGATGCAGTCTGCGCCTTCGTAAACGATACATTGGATGCCACAGTCCTCAAATCCCTCCACGCATATGGCATTCGTGCAATCCTTATGCGCTGTGCCGGCTTCAACAATGTCGATCTGCAAGTCGCAGAGGAGCTGGGCTTCTTCGTCGCCAACGTCCCGTCCTACTCCCCCGAAGCCGTGGCCGAATTCGCCGTGGCGCTGATCCAGACTCTGAACCGGAAGACGCACCGCGCGTATAACCGCGTGCGGGAGGGGAACTTCAATCTCGAGGGGTTCCTGGGCCATACGCTGCACGGGAAGACAGTGGGGATTGTGGGTGTTGGGCGCATTGGGCTGGCGCTTGCGAAAATCTTCCATGGGTTTGGGTGCAAGCTGGTGGCGTATGATCCGTTTGGAGGGGAGGACTTTAAGAAGTACGGCGAGTTCACCGAGTTATCTGAGTTGTTGGCGCAAAGCGATGTGGTCAGCCTCCACTGTCCTCTTACGGAGAGCACGCGACATATCATCAATGATGAGACCCTGGCGCAGATGAAGAAGGGCGCGTTGCTGGTTAATACCTCCCGTGGAGGGCTGATCAACACCAGTGCTGCGATCCGGGCACTCAAAGCGGGCCACCTGGGTGGTCTGGCGTTGGATGTGTACGAGGGGGAGGGCTCGCTATTCTATAATGATCATTCGGCTGAGATTATCCATGACGACACGCTGATGCGACTGATGACGTTTCCTAATGTTCTTGTCTGCGGGCATCAGGCCTTTTTCACGCAGGAGGCCTTGAGTGAAATCGCGGGAGTCACGCTGGGCAATCTGCAGGATTTTGTACTGAAACGGACATGCAAGAACTCGTTGGTGCGCGAAGGCCACCTGCTGGTTAGGAGGGATACAGAGCCTGTTCGTTTATGATGTGGAAAGGCGTCGCTTAAAGGACTTGGGTATTCTCATTTCGCGCCTATGGCAAGAACCTATTCATAATAGCATGGTGCCTTCGTTTCTCATTACGTACATTTCATTTACGCAAACTGGCCAGGCCGCGGATATGTGCCAGACCCCTTGGAATGATACGGCTCCCGTGAATGATCAACGGGACGACCGAGATCATCCACATAAAGCACACAAGCCCGAAAGCAGCAATAAGTCGGATTCTCTGAACCAGTGCCAGAATGGTTCTGTCTTTGGCTTTTTCGTAAGCAGCACACCATCTACCCTGGCCTTCCAGTTGAACTCGTTTTGTCTGCTCTCTTGCTTCAACCGCATCCGCCATCTGCCAGGCGACCCTGCGGTTAATTTTCTCCCACGTCGTATCCTCTGCATAAGCCCGGGCAGCCACAGCCAGGGACGACAGAAGCTGAGAATCGCGCGATATCTGCCGCACAAGAGCAACAAACGTCTCCATGTCGTTTGGAGGGACCAAGTATCCCGTCTCTTGATGGCGTACAATGTCCGACGGTCCACCTTGGTTTCGTGCGATAACAGGCAACCCGCTGGCCATTGCCTCGAGCACCACCAACCCGAAAGTCTCGGTGATAGAGCAGTGCAGGAAAAGGTCTGCCGAAGCATATGCACGAGCCAGTGGTTCTCCGGTCAAGAAGCCTGTGAAAACTACATGATCTCTGACATGATCAAAGAGACGGTGGATTTTCGTTTCGACCTCCGGATTGCGGTTTCCTCCGACAATCAAAAGCTTGAACGGTAGCTTCTCTTCCGCGAGTTTGGCTGCTGCCACGGCCAGGAACTCGAATCCTTTCTCTGGGGCTAACCGGCACACGCAGACCAGGATGATTTCTCCATTAGGTGCAATCTCTTTCCGATACGCCTCGTCGCGACGAGAGGGATTGAACAAGATGGTATCGACGCCTCGTCCCAATTTGACGGCTCGTGTGACAGGCGCGCCCGCCATCTTCAGATAGTCTAAGATGTATGATGATGGGTAGAAGATGGTATGCACAGCGGGATTGCTAAAAAGGAAGCCTTGCACCACTGCCAGCAACCAAACAGACCACCGACTCAAGGGAGTCGGGAGGATGATCTCACTGTATGCTGACAGGTCGGTTTGGAAGTTCAGCAGCACAACGGGTGGTTTTCGGAGCTGCCGCAGGTAGAGTAGTAACTGGAAACCCAAGGACGCCGGACTCGCCACATAGACAATATCCGGCTGGACGGGCTCCTTGTAGACATCTTTCAGACGGAACGGGTACACCAGCGTCAGATCTGGGTTGTACGGGAGAGGATAACCTGGCAGTCGCGAATTCGCCACTGGTTGCTCGGCCTGTTGGGCACCTGCGAATTGAGGCGCCACCACGATCAGGTCGACCTCATTGCGACGAAGATAGTCGATCAGACTGCCTGTTGTTCGGCTGACTCCGTTGACAGGACCAAGCGATTCGGTGGTCAACAGCACCTTCTTCCCTTTCAGAGACCGAGGAAAGCTCTCTCTATCCATTTATATCTTAATGATGTATATTGCGCACCAAAGGCCGTGTAATAATCTGCAGAGCAGTAACCGGTCAGTAACCCAGAATCCAGATCTACCTGGCAGTACCAGCCCGCATAAAAGCATGATGCGAGCCTGAAGTAGCCGAAACTAGTATTTCCATCCAAGGTCAAATGGTACAATCATCGGCGATCACAGCAGATAAGAAAGTGCTTGTGCCGGATTGCAACGTTGAAGCCAGAGCGCAATGCTTCGTGTAGGAGGCCGCGATGGCTGCACGTGGGTCGATTCTTTGTCGCCCTCCGCTGCGAGGCTCTCTCCTCTCCCAACCAGTGGCAGTCCGCGAATCCCCCCGCGTGCACCCAGCAGTCAAGCTCTTTGGGGATCCATGCGATCGACTCGACTGTCCATTACACACTCATGAACCTTTGGTTATTATTGCTTTGCACGATCATCTGTAGCGCTAGGAGGATGGCGGCAACAATCACAACGCACGCGGGGACCAAACAGAAATGTTTGGCCCCTCGGTGGAGGGGGGGTTTCGATAAGGGTGAAGCCGGGAGGTAAAAGTCTATAAACGCTCTGCGTCCATTTCTGCAGTGAATTTATGGACTTTTTACGATGGTCGAACAGGGAGTCATGATTGAAATGGTTGCAGAAACTCAAGCAGTCGCAATGGATCTCCCGTCGTCTCCTGCAGGAACCTCAGATGCGAGCTCGTATGATGGCTCAACGCGCCCTACAACCCCTTCTTCAAGTCCGCTGTTTTGTGCTTCTAGAATGGAGGATCTGGCTCTGTCGCATTTCATGCACTCTCCGGGCTCTGCTTCACTACAAAGCTTTCCGGCCTGGGGCCAGGTGAAGAACATCTGCGTGGTGGGCGCTGGATACGTCGGTATGCTTGTGCTATTGTGCCTCACTTAGTGGTGCAAAGTCTCATTATTACAGGTGGGCCAACCGCAGCCGTTATGGCGCTGTACAACCCGTCGATATCAGTCGAAGTCTTGGACCGAGACCCTGTTCGCATCCGGAAGTGGAAGTCACCACACCTTCCTGTACATGAACCTGGCTTAATCGATGTCGTCCGAGTGACGAGAGATGGAGCGGAGATTGTCAATCATGAGACTACGTCCCAGATCAATGCGACGCGCTTGAAGCGGCGCGCAAACCTTTTCTTCACAAGTGACTCGGTGACAAGTATCTCCCGAGCGGATATGATCATGCTTGCCGTCAACACACCCACCAAGTCGTTTGGCCTCGGCGCTGGTCGAGCGACGAATATGTCAGCTATTGACGAGGCTGTGCGGCAGATAGCCCTCTACGCAAAACCAGGCACAATCATCGTCGAGAAGAGCACAGTTCCTTGTGGCACTGCGCAGCGGATTCGAAACATGGTACGCACTACTGACCCATGTGCCTGCTCTTCACTTCCCAATCTGACGATGTATAGTTGGCCACCCTGAGACCCGGCGTGCCGTTCGAGGTGCTGTCGAACCCCGAATTCCTGTCCGAGGGCTCCGCTATTGAGAACCTCATCTCACCCGATCGTGTTCTCATCGGATCATCTGGAACACCATCCGGACAGCATGCAGCGCGCACTCTCGCACAGATCTATTCACCTTGGGTGCCTTCGTCGCGCATCCTCGAGGTCAACGCATGGTCGTCAGAACTCGCAAAGCTTGTAGCCAACGCCATGCTCGCCCAAAGAATCAGTAGCATCAACTCCATCAGTGCTATCTGCGAGAAGACAGGAGCTGAGGTCGATCAAGTAGCTCAGGCTATCGGTCTTGACGCCCGAATCGGATCTCAATTCCTCAAAGCCGGTCTCGGGTTCGGCGGCTCCTGTTTCCGCAAGGATATCGCCAGCCTGACATATCTCGCCGAGTCACTGGGCTTGGAAGATGTGGCTCACTATTGGAGCCAAGTCAACGTGATGAATGAGATGCAACGCAACCGGTTTGCGAGGAAAGTCATTGAGAGATTCGATGGTAACCTGACCGGACGAAAGATCGCCATGCTTGGGTTCGCCTTCAAGAAGAACACCGGTGACACGCGAGAGTCCTTAGCGGCTGACGTGATCCGGTTGCTGCTGGAAGAGAAACCCATGGAGATTGCCATCTTTGACCCCTTCTGCCTTGAAAAGGACATCATGCGGGAGGTTGAATGCGTCTGCGGCGCCTTGGACGGGAAGGTAGTCAAAGTCTTCCCCGATCCGTACCAAGCTTGTTCTCAAGCCGACGCAGTCCTCATCATCTCGGACTGTGATCAATTTCGGAATATGCCAACCAAATCGAAGCCGAACACTTTTGCACCGAAGACAGAGGTTAAGGCTGTTAACACTCTTCCCAAAGCCATAATATCCAAAGACCCAGAGGAGGACGTCTGGTCCTGCAACGCCCTGTCATACCGCTTGTCCCCGCAAGAAGTGTGCGAGGATGCCTGTGAAGCATGCCGTTCAACAGCCAGTCATCCTACTGCCACGGAGCCTGTAGAATGGGCACGCATAGCATACAACATGAAGGCACCGAAATTGGTCATTGATGGACGCGGAATCCTGGATGTTCATGAGATGGAGAAACTTGGCGTCCATGTGGATGCTGTTGGAAGACAACCGGCTGCTATCTCAGCAGGCATTGACCCTTTGAACTGTGACATCTAGCACTGAATTTTTCAGGAAGGCTTGTTGCAAATTGATACCCCTCGATCTTTCTTTCTTTTGTTTTTGTCCCTCTTTTGCATGCAGCAGCTTCAACACCTATCTCGAGAACATAACATCTAGACTGGTTTAATTATACTTTGGTGCAGTCTGCTATTGAGGTCAGTAGCAATGATGGTTTGGCAGCTTTTGGACGTATCCATTACTATGGTCGGCATTCTTTTCTTATAGCGGCAAATGACTATATCCAGGGTGGTTACTACAAGAACGACTCGACCTTTGACAATCATAAAGTCATCGATATACACCTGAATCCCCCGAACCAGGTATCTCAATCACGCATAAGCAGAGAACGACCCCTCTATCTCTTCCACCTTTGCAACAGCCCGCTTATACCCGTCCATCGCCTGCAATTTGTCCGCGTACTCCGCCAACGTCGGATACCGAGCCCGGAGATCAGGCATTTTAACCAAGGCCGCAATAACAGGGAAGCTCATCATGATATCCGCAGCAGTCAGCTCCTTGCCACAGAGGTAAGGCCCGCCTCCCGGCGCAGTCTTCAGCTGGTCCTCAAGGAACTCGAAGTGGGAGGTCAAGTTCGGCGTGACGAACGCCTGCTCAACCTTTGACGCGACCATGCCTGTTAAGGGCTTGATGAAGAACGGGACGGGGGCGTTCCTGATGCCTGCGCCGTGTCAGCATCACTTCCACCTCTAATAACCCAAAATCCGGACTGAAAAGGGAAAGAACTCACTATTCGTCACCAACTGCATCACTAGAAACGGCATGAAGCTGCCCTCCGTGTAATGCATGTAGTAGCTATACCGCATCCACTCCTCGGTCTCCCCGCCTACCTGGTCCTCCTTGCCTGCGGCATAGCGCTGCGGGATGAGTTTGAGCCTGTCACCCCCGAAATGATCGCACAGATACTCCATGATCAGCCCGGACTCGGCGAGAACCAGCGGCTTGGGGGAGCCGGGGATCTCGATGCTAATAACCGGGGATTTGCCTAGCGGGTGAATGTCCTTGAGCTCTTTTGGGGCGAGCATGTCGGCGCCGCGCTTGAAGGTCTTGAGCTCGTAGGTGAGGTGGAGTTCCTCGAGGAGCCAGAGGATGCGCTGGGCGCGGGAATGTTCCAGCCTGTGTGCCAGTGTTAGTTTTCTGTGTTGATGGCGGGAAACGGGGAAGTGTACCAGTAGAGGGTGATTTTGGCGCCTTTGTTTGCGTCTGCCATTTTGCTGTTAAGTACCTGATCTAGGTGTATATGAACTTAGGAAGTAGATTGAATGATGCTGGTCTACGGAGTTGTTCTTTTTTGACACAATATGGATGAGAACGTCGAAAGGCTTAGTCGGCAACAGGAGTACAAGTCTTTATCTTTGATCTACATTTCCCTCAGGAGTCCACGGCACTACGTCTAGACCTGTTTCTGGATAATCGCAGGTTGGAGCTTAACCTCGGATGAATCCCTCGGCCAAGTACCATCTACCCCCGTGAAAGTCTCAAGGCTGGCGTCATCGATGTATATGTGGGTCAATTCAGATCAATATCGCCCGTACATATAGCAGTTTTCAGTTGTATAGCTAGTATGAGCCTTAAATCAGTAAGTCAGTAGCTGTGCTCCCCACAACGATGATATTGTAGCACCAGTTTCCCAAGCAGCAGTCTAGGCGGTACTGTGGTAGTAAAGGGGGAACGGAGTCGATGCCCGCAATCTCAGGCCTGAACTCTGCAACCACATGACTCAGCACGCCAAGATCAGGTGACCGCCCACTTGAACTTCATGGATACCATCACCATCACCATCGACGAGTATCTCGGCCTAGCCTGAAATTGCTGACGTCGCAACCATGGCCGGCCCTAGCAAGTGTAAGTAGCTGTTCCCAAAAGTGACAATCCATCCCAATACTGATCAATTGCTCCGCAGCCCTGGTCCTTGACCCGGCCCTCCAGAAATACTACGGTACATCTCTCCGTCCTACTCCTACCCTTCAGCCCATCAACAGGATAGCGCGAATCGCTGTTTGATTCTCTGGCAGTCATGCGCGAGAACCTACATGCAAACGACTAATGCTGTGCAGAACTCACCGCAAACCGATACAAGTACTTCCGCTGGACCCCGCGCCATGCCTGGTTGTCGTTCATCTATATGATTGCGATCCCCGGTACATTGGGCTACATTGCCTACAAGACAGATGTATGTTCTTGCGAGCTATAAATCTTGGAAATATGTAGAAGATGCTGATCAACTGGCGGAACAGGGGAAATACGAATTCCGCGGGAAGAGGAGAGGCGATACCATTCTCGAATACTAGGTTGTCTGTTGATTTGCGTGGATTGAGATGACCTCTGCAGGATTGTGTTTCTGTGAGGCAGAGATGGAAACAACGGGTACGAGACCAAGTTGTGCGCCGACCCGCTGGCTTTGTACCTATTACTAGAATATACCGCATCGATTTCGCTTTGTTCATTCGTTCCCACTTGAATGAGCCGTCCCCCATTTCTCTGGACAGATCCTTACATTCGGAGTTGCTAAATGCAGACGGGAAGCTGCGTCTCCTGATTGATTTGCGGGCTAGACGCAATGCGTCCTGTCAATTGCTTGGTATCAGAACATGCACTCTCCGGAACGGTAAACTGTAGACTGAACTGATTTTCCTACCGTAACTCCATGTAAGCTTTAAAGATACAACTAGAGCACGCCTAGTACGGGGCCCACCCCCTTCTCCCAGGTCCTCCACCATAATTGCGCCCTCCTCCATCTGGTAACCTCTCCCCACGCCTCCAATCCCCAGATGGTATCCCACGATCCCCCCTCCCACGACCAGGCCGTCCAAACCCTGGATCACGGAACGCCCTCATGCCTCCTCCAACGGGCCCGCTCACCGGTCCGCGCCCCGTAATAAGTGGCGGAGCAACAGAGCCGTCCTCAAGCGGTGGCAGGATCGCGCAATCCACGTAGTCCCCAATCACGAAACGAAAATCCTGCAGCGTCTTGTCCGCGTCATTACCCTGCAGCCGCAGCGCACGGGGCCCCGTCGCAGTACTGTTCGCATTCTCCTCGTCATTCTCCGCCCGGTAGGGACTGTCCTTTGGTCCAACGACCACACTCCCCATGTCCTTGCTCAGGTATCGTCCTCGCGCGTCGCCGCCCATTGTCGCGGCACTCTTGGTGTCTGGGTAGATCAAGCGGAAGCATATGCGAGTCCCGACGGCGGGATCAGGCAGGAGGGAAGGTAAGGCCGAGGTGAGGAGCTGGGTTAATTCTCGTAACGTGCAGGACTGCCAAGTGTAGATCTCCAGGTGCGGGGGGAGTCGCGCTGGGGGAGGGGAGCGAGCTCGAATCGCGTTAGGACCGCTGGTCGGCCCATTGTAGGAAGATGGCGATGAGGGAATGGCAAAGTCGGATAGTGGGTGGAAGGAGTTCACGCGGTAGAAGAGCTTCAGGTGGAAAGGTGTGGTCTTTTGACGGTCGATCTGCGGTTTGGGCGGATCTCGAGGTGCAGCCATGATGGCGAATCGTCACACGATTTGTCAAGCAATATACGAGCCTTTCAATTGCTGTAGAGCGAGCAGTTTGATTTAAATCGTGCGGCTGCGAGCTGGCGACGCTGGTGGTTGAGGTGTTGCTTGTCACGAGAGCGAGAGCTGTCCGGCGGAGGAAAGAAGCTCACCCGCCGAATCTGGCCGCTTGCACCACCGCTGCTTCAAGATCATTTTTACATCTCCCACAACTCTGCTTACACGCACATCTTTTGGTTACTCGTGACAGTCTAATTAGCGAGCGATAGAGCTTGTTCAAAACTAGCCATGGATTTCGCATCTTTGATGGCCAAGGAAATCTCCAAGGCCAAAAGTTCCGCCACGCCCAGCTCAACATCATCAGGATCAGAGCAAAAGGAGCCCACCCTAATCCAAGATAAGAAATACGTCCGACGAGCCGAACTCGAAGCTGCCAGAATCGCTGCCTACAATGCAGAACAGGAGCGCCTACAACGCGAACGCGAGGAGCGCCAGGCTCAGAAACGCAAACTCGAAGAGGAAGAAGCAGACCGGCGACGCGAACGCGAAGAGAAGAGACGGCGATTAGCCGAGGAATCCCGGAAGAAGAGAGAGGAGGAAGAGGCAGCGAAAGAGCGAGAACGCAGGAAGAGACTGGGTCTACCCGAACTGCCACCCGCCGGCGCGAAGGACGAGTCGACTCTCGGAGAAGAAGAGGTGGATATACCGGACGAGGAGCTGAATCAGAAACTCCGCGACCTCAAGGAGCCTATCTGTCTATTTGGAGAGAATCATGTTGCCCGTCTGCGACGTTACCGCCGTCTTGTCCGTCGGTCGATGACACCTCAGCCTAAGGTGACAGACGGGCCTATCCCTACTACCTTGGAACCTGTATCGGAGGTGGACATGAAGATTCCAACCACCCTTCCTAAGGACGCAGATGGCCGCAAATTCTTGTTTCGGCAGTTGGCCTCGTACTTCAACATGGTGCTGCTGGAGTGGGAGCGTGCTCTCGCAAGACGGGATGTATCGGTCAAGCAGAGTCTGACCGGTCGTCAGGCCTACAATGCGATGGTTCAGTCGAGGGAAAATTTGAAGCCGCTCTTCCGGAAATTTGAGAAGAACGACATAGACGATAACCTGTTAGAGCCCATTATGGAGATCGTTCACAAGGCTCAATTGCGGAGATACGTTGATGCAAACGACGCATATTTACGCGTCAGTATCGGAAAAGCGTAAGTGAAGTTCTACATCTGCATGTACTCTATTCTAACAACCCAATACAGAGCTTGGCCTATTGGTGTGACTATGGTTGGTATCCACGAGCGATCAGCCCGAGAAAAGCTGCATCAGAGTGATCAACAGGCACACATCCTCAGTGACGAAATTACCCGAAAGTTCTTGCAGAGTATTAAGCGCTGCTTAAGCTTTGCGCAGACTCGCTGGCCCCCGGATGACCAACTGCAGATTATGGGTTAGTGATGGATGTAGTTGAGTGTGAAGACTTTGCCAACCTAGTGATGATAATGATAATATATATACCCTGTAACCTAGCCTGTTCCGAAATTAGTGCTATACGCTCTCCAACATGCTAATATGATATGTTCAATGATATATTTGAATATACAAACAACTATTACGCAACAAGCTCTAATAGAGTTCTGGAATATCTAATGCTTAGGTATATGTGCGCCCTGATTCTATGACCTCCAAAACCTTACCATCCAGCTCCATAGGCCATCTAGACTCGAGGGAGGGCGGGTTGTGGCCTCGGAATCAATTTTCTCCAGTTGCTGGTAATAGTCACCGTTATGATAAATTTCGTGACCCTCCACGCCGTTCATCACACGCAAAGATGAGCTTTGTGGTCTGGAAGAGGTTGGCGTTTTGCACTCGGATTTATCATCCCCGGTATGTGCTCTTATAAGTCTACCTGCCGTCTGCACGCAACTGCCGTAAGCAAACCGGATCAGGGAATCGCCGGTGAGACTCCCAATGATAAATACGTCTTCGGCGACTTCGAGATCCTCTAAGGCCTTTGCTCTCAATGTCTTGCCCGATATTATGGGGCTGGGTTCTGTTCCATCGGGACACCCAAGAACCTCGGAGAGAAGGGGCTTATCCAGGTAGCCAAGGGTTCCACGACGACCAGTAGCATATACCAGCCCACGGACGGTTCGTTCCATTGTACTTCCGTCGGGTAGTCGAAAAGTTACCAATGCAAATTCCGATTGCATATCCACTGCAATAACTTCTGCGTTTGGAAGGCCCTCGTAAACCGTATCCCAGGCCCGACTTTCGAGGAACCGAGATGATGTCGTCCGCTTTGGTTTGCCAGGACGTTTGGCTGTAGCTGGCTCTGCCGCAAGAGCAGCTCGCTTCATCAATCGATACACCCCCGCATATTCCGGATAGGCGCGCTGGTGACAGCTGCGGAGTGGAGAGGGATGTCCTTCCGGATCCCACTTAAATATATGAAGGACCTTCTGGTCCGCCGGAGCAGATATTATGATATCCGCTGCTGAGAAGCCGGATCCTATAACAAGGAGCGGTATCTCTGGAGTCGGCTGAAGAAATCGTAGGGGTTGTAGCATCGGAAGGGGCTTCAGCACTTCCGAGAATATTCCACTCGCCAAGACCAGATGCTTGCAATGAATATTGTGAGAGGAAATGAAGAAACCATTTGCAGTTCTTGTGATACCGCTCAGAGTCTCGTTATTCTGAAAAGAGTCATCAATCCCGACCGCCTCAGGATAGGCGCTGAAATAGTCCATAATCTCCCTCCTGGTGGGCCGCGTGAATGCAGGAAGATCCTTGCCATTGACCCTGCGGTAGTGCTCAGCGAAAGAATATCCTGGCAAGGACAGCATTGACGCGTAGCTCAGGGTTTGAATATCCCAGCTAACGAATACCAGGTTGTCATTCCATTGACCACCGGCCTTCGGCGCATTGCCGAATACCAAGTGTGGGACGGCCTTTTCAGGCACATGTCGCCATTCAACTCTGGTATCACCCTCTCCCACATCCACATCGATGCTTGGCCGGACGAGGGTGTCCAGCAGAACATTTACTGGGAGAGCCTGCGTCGAGTACGACAATCGAGAGGCATGGAAATGTTCGGTCAAAGCCGCTACATCCGCATCCAGTAAGTCCGGGTTGTCCTTAAGCTTCGCATGGAGTAGAGGGTCGGGATGCGGACGATTTATAGAATAATACGGGAGATAGCCATGGAGAATAAATGACAGGATCATAGCCGATGGCCCGTTCCCTATCGATCGCAGTGTCAAAGTCAATCAAGAGGCCACAGTGATTGGCGAGAAACGATTTCATTCCCCTGAAGAATGGCGACATACCGATGATTATGGTGTCAGTTTCCATTGCAGGCATCTTGTGTGCCCCGGGCCGCGACATCAGCGCGGGGCATTCTGCATCAGACATGCGATGGTAGACAGCTTGATAACGGTCACAGTTATTATGGCCCCGATGAACCGGCGAATCTGTTTGCTACCTTCAGATGAAGGTTGATCAACTGGAAGGCCATGGAGAAGTAAACAAGATCATAATATGATTAGTAGTGATTACATGACCGGAGTTTAGGGAGGCTCGCATTGGGGGTTCGCTGACAAAACAAAAAATGCTCTAGTGAGTAGCAACGGTTCTGAACCGGTTGACGGACGGTACGGAGTAATCAAGATCACCGAGTGGCGTCCGGCTACGAATGAAATCAGATTGTCTTAAGCCTGCCAGGGAGCCATCTGCCTGGTTCAGGGCCAGGTAGGCTTTCCAGGGCAACTCCTCCGTAGTCCGATTCGGATCGTTTGAATGTGCACAATGCACGATGTACCGGAGATATAGGCTAAACAGTAGAGTGGCATATGCAGCTCCTCGGCGCCGACCAAAACAGCGTGAAGTCATCATGAGATTCGCTGGCCGAATTCGGGACCCGGTTGCGGGGGTTGTGACCCCGATGCGGTATGTAGGGCTTAGGGTTTGTAGGCGAAAGACCCTATGCCCTATTTCCCCAATTTGGACACAACTGACGCATGATCCCTTACTAGGCCTCTTGGATCCTGGGGATCGTCGTCCCGGAGTTGGAGGGACGAACGATGGAAGATTCGAAGACATTCAGGAAGTCGGGGTCGAAAAGCTCTGCGCTGCCATGATTGTCTCACCAAGGGCTTGGCTACCTTTTTCTTAATTGGAAATCAGAGGCTTGCGTTCCCCAGAACTGGACTGGCCTCAATAGGTCGTCCGACCGCAACTATGTATCATCTGGCCAAGTCTCTATACCTCTACGCTACCAGCAAAGAGGGTAAGGATCATACAACTGGGTTTAGTTGCATGTGTGTCGCTGACAGACGGGCTCAGAATACTCCGTCCTGCTCCTGGGATTAGACAACGCAGGGAAAACTACGCTCCTGTCGCAAATCAAGGCCCTCTATCTGCCCCGTCCCGATGGCGCCGCTGCTACCAACCCAGGCAAAACCGTGCCTACTGTCGGCCAGAATGTCGCCACGATTCCATTACGGGAGATGAACCTGAAGATCTGGGATGTTGGTGGCCAAATCTCGATGCGAAATCTGTGGCAGAGCTACTATTCAAGCTGCCACGCCATCATCTTCGTCGTTGATAGTACGGACGTAGGACAAGATCCAGACATCACCCGTCTACCGTCGAATCGAAAACCAGGCTCGTTGTCGGGCCCGTCCGCGCCCGGAGTTGACGCCGTTACCGAAGAAATGGCAGGAATCAATGCTCCGGGAAGCGAGTTTGGACGGCTGGACGAGTGTCGCCAGGTACTGGAATCAGTGTTGCAACACTCCGATGTGGCTGGAGTCCCTATTCTAGTGCTGGCCAACAAGCAAGATCGGGAAGACTGCGTTGAAGTTGTCCGCATCAAAGAAGGGCTTGTGCGCAAGGTCTTTGAGGGTGAATCCGGAGGCGGAGTGCGCGATAGTCGCGTGTTGCCTGTCAGTGCCTTGATGGGAACAGGGGTTCGAGAAGCAGTCGAATGGATCCAAAGTCGAGTCAAGTGGAATAAGGAGGGACGACCTCCCATCATGAAATGAGGCGCGTGATAGCATCCTGGTGTGATTGCTGGCCGCTGCTGGATGCCACTTGGATGCCAGCTTGGTCAGGACCAGCTCCTCTATCTCTTGGCAGCGGAATGTTGATACCCTTCTTGTTGGTGATTGATTCTTTGATATGGCGCTGGAGGACTTTGTTTATACAAGATACCTAGAAAGTTCTGTGCATACATTACTTGCATCAACCATTCGATTTCAGGGGCTGTCGATAGTAGATAACAGAAAATGAGGCTATCGCGAACTTCACGGACACGGTTGCACAGTTTTCTGAATCACTGCAGTACCAAGAACTCAAAACTCAATGGCGGAGAATCTATGATGTATAATTCTACATCAAAGGTACAATCAACCGGCTATATGCGCAGTCGCAAGAGTGTTGAAGCTGGTACTTCTCCACATCATGACCCAATTTTTGACGTCACAACACGGCGGATGCAATGTGAAGCCAGGTAGAGAGGTACTCCAGATGCTTTTGGAACGCCAAATGATTACCTCTCTACCCAGCGAGGTAGTTGACAGTGGAAGAAGAGCGTATGATATGGCTATGAAGTCACTCCATCAGCTTGACGTCATGTTCTGGTGGTATCCTTTGGGTCCCTGCACCTTAGTGAATTGATGAGATGATGTTCTCTACAAAAAGCCTTATAAAGTCTTGACAGCAGTTGCTCGATTATTGCCAACATATTCATCTATCAGTCTCGAAACAGAATCAAAGCACACGACCTTTCTACAAACCAATCTTCATCAACGTCAACATGAGCCACACCGCAAACCCCGACTCCTTCGACAATGGTAAGAACCAGGACTTCATCCATCCCAGTGTCCAGCCTTCTGCTCCCATGAGAAAGGACGGCGTAAGTATCCCTTGACTCCGAAAGGAGCTATACTAACCTACGAACAGCACCAATTAGGCACGAAAGTCAGCCCTGCAGACTTCAAGCCCGAGTTCCGTGCCGAGACTCATCCTCCCGGCACAGCTCCCGCCAGCAATTCATACACCCCGGATACCACCGGAGAGTCCGGCGGCCAGGCCTTGAACCCCTTGGTCGAGCGCAGCCATGGAAAGGAGGCCGTCAAGACCACCGCCGAGTCGACCTTGAGGGGAGCCACCTCCAAGGACGTCCACAAGGGTCTGGGCCACCCCGGATCTGGCCAGACCAAGACCGAAATGAAGCACGACGGCCAGCACCACCGGAAGCACGAGGGAGCCGGCCTCGAGGGAGTCGGCAGCTACCGTCAGGACAAGTTTGAGCGCACACTGGCTGACCAGCGCGGTCTTGAGCGCGAAGAGGCCAGGCCCAACGAGCACGGCGACAAGGGCGTCTCGGCTGCTGAAGATATCCCTCCCCAGTCCGCAGAGACGGCGGCCCACGAATGGAAGTATGAGCCTGGTACCAAGAGGGATAACGCTGCCAGGCACTAGGCGAGTTCAAAAGCGTGATGAGATATTTTTTTTAATGTTCTATTTTCATGTCATGTATAAATCATCCAATTAGCGTGGGTATCACGGTCGGCATTTGCTATGCACATAAATGAAACGGTCCTCTAATGGAACAAAAAAAAGTTGAATATCAGAATGGGAATGATCGAGCCACGAGTAGGCATTCGCTCACTCATGGAGTAACACGCTCCTGGCTGGTTCGAGCTCTGTTGTCGAGATGGCGACTTTTCTCGCCATGTGGACCGAGCTTCTTGGGCCAACTGCGGGCTATGTCGATGTTCGATCGCGGAAACCACATCTCGAGGAACACATAAAGTAGGAAATCTATTACTGCACAAAGGCAAAACAGTTTGCCTGCCCAGACACCACACCCGTAGTATCGTTTTAGCCGGTCGATTAAAGCGAAGCTCCGTACCCTGTCAGTGTTGGCTTCCCAGCCTTGGCCGGGATAATATCCGTAAAATTCCTCCGGGCTGATATCACCAGTAATGCCTTTGTAGACGCGCTCTGTTCGTTGAGCCACATCCGTCCAGGAATACATCATCTTGACCTGATCGTGGAATCGATCTGTTCGCACTTTGTTCGAACGCAAAGCGGCAATCGCCTTTTCGGTTGCCAGGACTAAATCATCCTCTTCAGGCTTCGCGAAAGTCGTCATGTGCTGAGGTAACACTTCTGGGATGCCACCAACACGAGTACAGACCACGTAAAGACCACAGCTAGCAGCTTCCACAATGACTGTACCAAATGCCTCCGTCAGACTCGGATGTAGATAGATGTGGCCTCGGACCATGACATCCCGGACTTCTTCATGACGGATCGACCCAAGCAATTCAACTTTGTCCTGTAGCACGTTTCGTTCCAACATCTGCTCCAAATCGATGGCTTGCGGACCCGAGCCCGCGACGATAAACCGTACATTCGGATGGGATGCCAAAATCCTTGGTATAACCGCAATCAGGAGATCAGTTCCTTTGTTATAGAAGAGACGCGAGATGACAACAATTGTGATAGTATCGTCCGGGCCGATCGGTGCAGGCGGTGGTCCTGGCTCGATCTCTCCTGACGTCCGATCGCCTTTGCGAATGTCATGAGAAAGGGGGCGGAAGTTTTCCGCGACTACAGCGTTGGGAATGACCGAGACCATCAATGGGTCTAATGACGCTCGAAGTACTGTATTCTCCTTGCTGTACCTCAGGTAAGAATCAGGACATAAATCGACCTTGCCATGCACGTACCACGTATGACTGACACAAATGACATGGTCAACGTCACTCAATGTAAATTTGAGCATCTTGTTCGCCAAAATCGAACCAGCATCCGCAAACCCAAATAGAGAGTGGTCGGTAAAGACCGTGCGTAGACCCATTGTTCGGGCATGTAGAATCGCCTCATGGCATAGGCTGCTCATACTGCCGTGGCCATGAACGATTTGTATTTGTTCACGGATCACGATATTCCGGAAAAGGGGGAAGAAGGAGAAAACGGTCGGCATCGTCGACTCGCGATAAATGACGAAGAAGGGAATGTGGTAGACTTTGAGACCATTGGTAAGATATCGAACTCCAGTCCTCCCCTTGTATGCATGCGTGATGATGATGACTTTATGACCGCGGTCGATCAGTTTCTGGAATAACAATGAGCAGGTATATAATGCGAAAGGAGCGAGTGTCCATACAGTTGACAGTTGGTATATGTGACTTTCAACTCCCCCTGATAGAATAAGTCAATTCCGCAGAGATGCAATTCACGACGAGGAGACAAACCTGGTTGAGGGAAGAAGAAGTCACAAACCATACTGCGCATATCATTGTTAGCTTCATCTCCTCGCGATGAGTATGGGGTAAACTAACGCAATGTTGTAGGGCATATTGGCTGCTCCGCCTGTCTAGCTGGTATCCAGACAACTC